ACGGCGCCGGAAAAACCCTAGGACGGCCTATGAAAGAATTAGTATTTCTTAGCTTGCTTATAATCTTTTTCATATATTTAAAAGTGCACATCTATCATAGATAATATATTAACTCGTATTTCAATCTTAGACGCCATGTTTCCTCAATCGCAAGGATAATAATTACCGTAAATTAATATTGGGCATGTCTGGAACAACTTATAATTTAGATTAAAAAATAAATCTTAGAAACTAAATCTTAGCATTAACAGAAGTTATAATCAATTAGGTTAACTTAAAAACCTATAAATTATACTCCCTATTTCATTAAAATGTTTTCACTGTTCTTTGAAATTTCCCAAAAAAGGAGTAATGATATATAAAGTTCTAGAATAGGAATATTTTTATTTCTTTAAATCGGAGTATATACAATCATGCTCAAATCATATTGTCATGTTTATAAATTAGCCGTATTTTTTTAAAGATGTAAGTAATTATTATACTCTTATATAATGGACACAGAGTAGCTCTATTTTGAAATATTAGATTGTTTTTACTTTGAGGACATTTTCCATTTTTTAATTTGTAAAAGCGACCTTTTGTTGCAAAGGAGAAAAAAGTTCATTCAATTATAACCGTTTATAACAAATGTAAATGATCATCCAAATCAATCTAATTTTTTAGCTTTCAGAAATCACAAACAAGGTCGGTCAATATAAACAAAGAAGGAATTAGGTTAACGGTTACACCAACCTCTTATCCTCCATATCGTCACCCAGCGAAAAAGGAAATTAATATATGGTTAGTCACATGATAATGGCAACCTTCAACTTTCAGCTCACCAAATGTATACCGATGTATAGCACAAACAAACTCATGCACGCCAACACTACCATGCATATAACTCATCACAAAATGTTCATGCACCCCCACAACATTATGAGCATAACTACACAACCAATAATAATCTTGCAAAAATGACCAGATTCTCCAACTCTTCTGCATATGACGCTGCAGGCGACTTACCTTCACAGGGCTTTCTTCTCTTGCCGGAGATTCAGGCAGTGGAATTGATCCTTGCTCTCATGGTTTTCCTGACCATACATGCTCTGAGGCAGGAGAAGAAACATGGGTTGGCATGTTGGCCAATTGTTGGAATGTTGCCTGCTCTAGTCCTTGGCGTTCGTAAAGACCTGTACGAGTGGCTTTCGAGAGTTCTCTGCCGCATGAATGGCACATTTACCTTCAGAGGCCCATGGTTCACTAATCTCAACTGTGTGGTGACTTCTGACCCGAAGAACCTGGAGTATCTACTCAAGGAAAGATTCTCAAACTTCCCCAAAGGAGATTTTTTCCGGAACACGGTACAAGATCTTCTAGGCGACGGCATATTCACTGCAGATAATGAGAGTTGGCAGAAGCAGAGAAAGACGGCAAGACTAGAGTTCCATTCTGCCAAATTCCGGAACCTCACAACTGATTCTCTGCTGGAGCTTGTCCACCATAGGCTCTTACCCGTACTGGAGGAGTCACTCAACCAATCTGCTGCCTTTGATCTGCAGGACATTCTCCTACGGCTCACATTTGACAATGTCTGCATAATAGCTTTTGGAGTTGACCCGGGGTGTTTGCAGCCCGGTTTGCCAGAAATTCCATTTGCCCAAGCTTTCGAGGATGCAACAGAGGCAACGATAATGCGTTTTGTCTTCCCCACATTTATATGGAAGGCCATGAGGTATATCGGCTTTGGGGCAGAAGGGGGACTGAAAGTATCACTGGAAAAGGTTGACCACTTTGCAGATGAAGTGATCAGGAAGAGAAGGGAGGAGCTGTCATTGGCATTGTCAGAAGGTGCCACCAAACACAGATCAGATCTACTAACAGTATTTATGGGACTCAAGGATGAAAAGGGCAGGCCGTTTTCAGATAAATATTTGCGTGATATTTGTGTGAACTTCATATTGGCTGGTAGAGACACTTCATCTGTAGCATTGAGCTGGTTTTTCTGGCTCCTGAATCAAACACCAGAGGTGGAGGAAAGAATCGTTGCAGAAATCTGCCAAATATTGAACTCAAGGGGGAACAACCATACTACCAAAATAGGGTATGGGAAAACACCGATCTTCGAGCCAGAGGATATCAAGAAAATGGATTATCTTCAGGCTGCTCTGTCCGAGGCTCTGAGATTGTACCCTTCTGTCCCTGTGGATCACAAGGAGGTAGGACTCTTCAACCATAAACAACATAATACACTATTCTCCAAAGCACAAACAAATAAAAATTATTTCCTACAACAAAATCCACCGTAAATCATTTCCAACGGAGCCAAAGACTCACTATTTTTGGCTTGGGAAAATGATGGAATAAAGCAAAATGGCTTAGTAAACTGTCTGCGCTTCTTTGTTATGAAGCAGCAGTCAGTTCATGCAATTTTCGACGCGATTTTCACTATTGGTCATCCGAAAACAGTCTCTTTGTGCTTTTGTACAGGGGTGACTACGTACATCCGACCTCCCCTTAGCACACCGAAGGTGTGGGAGCCTTTGCGACACTGCGGTAATGATGATGATGATTAACAAAATTCACCGTAAAAGAATGTTAGTTAGGATTAATGAATTGCTGCAACAAAGACAAAATCTCTTCGTTTCAGTAGCCCTTTTTCTTGTACTTCCTCCACTATGAAATAATACTCCGTAAAGAAAACCCTTCTGTTAAATTACTTGACTTCTGCATCATCATTACAGGTCCTTCAGGATGACATCTTCCCAGATGGGACAGTGCTAAAGAAGGGAACCAAGGTGATATACGCAATCTATGCCATGGGAAGAATGGAGAGTGTGTGGGGAAAAGATTGCAGAGAGTATAAGCCAGAGAGGTGGCTTAGAGATGGGAGATTCACGAGCGAGTCTGCCTACAAGTTTGCAGCGTTCAATGGTGGCCCCAGGTTGTGTTTGGGGAAGGATTTCGCTTACTACCAAATGAAATTTGCAGCTGCATCCATATTGTGCCGTTATCATGTGACAGTGGTAAAGAATCATCCAGTAGTGCCAAGGATGGCACTGACACTGTACATGAAATATGGTTTGAAGGTGACACTTTCAAGGCGTGATCAGTCTGAGCTTCACCATTATCTTAACAACGAATAAGAGGAGCATTTCATAGGCCAGCATATTCAATTAATACTATATACTCTTTGTTTGTCTTCTACTATTCATTGGTACCTTAAAACATAGACAGGGTGGTGTTTCAAGGATTGTGGTGGATATACAGCTGATTAGGAATGTTTTTTTTTTGTATTGTAAATTTCTTCTACTATACCTCCCACCCATTTTAAATGTCTACTCAGTTACTTTGTGTAATCAGGCTCGATTCAATTACGTAAAATGTAGATTTTTAATCTCAGTCAAGAAAACAAAAACATAATTAAAAACATGAAGAAAACACACAAAACATTCACCTCAACATGTTATCTGAAAAATCACTGCCATGACAGGATAAAAGCCTGAATCTACACACAAAAAAGGGACTTGGGGTTAACTACAGATTCCAATCTGCAACAAACTTATTTACATAAAGAATAAGGTAGCAAATAAAAAAGAACATAAAGACCAACATTTGAAGCATGCATTATCACTATTATGTTGATTATGGATGGTGTGTCTCTTCGCATGATTAAAGCAAAGAAACATGGTATAAGTGGGTCGACAAAGTCCACACTTTTGAAATGTCAACCCACAGCTTTTGAACATAGAACTTCAGACGCAAAGCAACAATCAAAGCTTCCTTCATGCATTGTCGTGCTAAAGGGATTGCTTCACAACGCAAATTTCCAAGTTCATTTGGATTAAAAAATGACATACAACTCATTGTTTATATGCATAATTTTTCTTAGTGACACATACTCCGTATATTCTGATGTTTCTATGCATGTATTGTATATCTCACTAGCACAGTGGCACTGCACAACTCATCTCAATTTGTGTGCCACTGGGTTTGTAAGAGAAAAGATCATTTGCCTAAAGATCAAGGGTAGATCTCCTTAAATATATATAACATTCAACTCATTCCCTTTATTATCTTTAAAGAATTAATAAGGTGTGTGTGCTTGGCAAGTTTCTAGGAATGAAATAAGGCATTGGTGTGAAACAGAGGGGGCGAGTTTCATAGTCCATTTGGAAGGGGGTATGGTTCAATGCCAATTAGTGGCGAATCAAATCCATGTGGACTCCATTCCAACTCCATTACTGATCAGGAGTTTGGCAAATCCCAATTGGGTCACTACATATTAGCTTGGCAAGCTGCGTTCGAGGCAGATTTTGCGAGTTGGGGCCGCCAGAATTGGATTAGTGAGGGTGTTGAAGGAGGCTGAAGTCCTCAAGTCCCTAACACATATCGAAAGAGACAGATGTGAGCACAGAAGTAAAGTGGAAAGTATTATGGAAGGAATCATCCTAGTGTTATATTTATTATCATTAGTTTATTTTTATTAATATTAGAGTTAATTTCATATTCATAATATTATTGCTACTTCCTTATTCAGTTTTAGTCAGCTTCTATTAGCCTTTAGCTTTATGTTTCTGATTATGAATATAGCTCTTGTATTATAGATTAATAAACTACTATTGAAGAATTAATTCTTGTGTTGAAAAGTCGTACATCAATTTTTTCCGCTTTAAGCATGGACTCTAAATAATCTCTTTTCATTCTTCCCCTTTCTCGTTCTTCCCACCAGATCTGAAAGGAGATCCCAAGCATGCACATAACACAGAGCCTACGGTAAACTTGCATCTCAAGTTGTAGAACACGCTCTCTATTACTCCCTCCGTCCCATAAAATTCTTCCCACCTACCTTTTTGGGATGTCCCAACAAATTTATAATTTCCCTTTTTGGAAAGTTTTGTGTGGCTAACATTCATTTATATTTTTCTTACTCAAACACAATCATACATTTCCACTTATTCTCACTTTCTTAAACTCCGATCCAAGTCAAACCGGGAAGATTTTTTTGGAACAGAGGAGTATTATCGAACAGTGAACATAACTATAGAGCCACATGATTATTTTCCACACTCGAATGGGTATATTTATTATGCATTTGCATACATGCAGAGGGCATTTAAATGCAATATTTTACAATAATGGTGAGAATCAAGATGTTGAAAATGCATCCTGAAGACTTTTGCAGTCAACTAAATATGCAAAACCATATGACATGTTCATTAAGGTTGCATGATGCAGTTCTGCCGAGGATGTAGCAGTAGCATCTGTGGAGAAGAAAACCCTGAAACCCCTCACAAAAGCCTCTCTTGCAGTGGTCTCACAGCACAAGTTGGTCATTACGCCAGACACAATTACCTCTTTTGCCCCCATCTCAGCCAGAGTGTCCTCTAAGTTTGTACCTAACACACATCATGGTGCATCAGTCAATTGATTTGTTAATCAGTTAACAAAAAAGTGAAATAACTCAATTTCTTGTCTCTGTTTAGTTAACGCATAGGAAACCTATCGATTTGGGTAATCAGTACTATCTGATGTGGGCGCCCCGACATGATTTGTGATAGATTTTTATTACGTAGTATGATTATCCGTTTCCTATAGTAATATTGGTATTAGTTTGTAACAGTTTTCTATTGGCAATAATATTCTACTCCGTACTTAGTTAAGTTATTACGGATTAAACTCTAAATTGTAATTGGTTACAACTTACAAGTACTCTAATTTGTGACCATCAAGACTCTTGGGAGCTAGTATACTACTTCCTCCGTCCCTTAAAACTTTGACATCTTTCCTTTTTGGGACGTCCCAAAAACATTTGCCACTTTCCATTTTAATTAATTATTTTGTGGTTTCTGTTATTTACCTCTCCTGTACACAAACCTCAACCACACAGTTTTTACTTTATTATTCTACATGCCGGTCAACTTTGAAAAAGTTTTAAGGGACGGAGGTAGTATCAATTATTTCGGATGTAATTCATGTATCTTTTCAAGGCTTGAAGGTGAGGTTATGATAGATCATGCATAAATAGGCACATTTCGCTTGATGGAATAAAGCAAAATAGCTCACTAAACTGTCTGCGCTTCTTTGTTATGAAGCATCAGTCATCCGGAAACAGTTTCTTTGTGCTTTAGTATAGGGGTAAGGCTGTGTACATCTAACCCCCCTTACACTAGTGTAAGTGGGAGTCTTTGCAACACTGGGGTAATATTATTGATTTATTGTTGTTGTTGTATCTTTGCAAGGCGAAACACTGAAATTTACTCCCTGCCAAGGGTGAAGGGTGTATAGTTACTTATCTTCATATCTTTTCGTCATTTCCCTTCTTCTCCTAGCCACACTTGTAAGGCTATCTTAATAGATCCGTTTGAATAGGATGAAGAAAATCAAAGGGTTTGGTATGATGTGCCATGGGTTATAGTAGGACATTAGAGCAGTTCTAATGCAACAATATGCACGATGCACAACTAGGAGAGTGTTGTTAATGCTACTGCAGTACTGCTGAAGATAACCAGGATCTCATTTCTAACAACCAGGCCCGCAGATGGTGGATCAGGAGAAACATTCGGTAAAATATAAAGGTCAGTACACCCATTTTGAACACTCAAGCAAAAATGATGATCTTCCTAAAATTGATTGGAAAGCATGGAAAGCAAAAAACATAAGGCATTCCCTGGAATACTCTACCAAGTACCATAATGAAAAACCCAAACAGATCCAAAATTATGGAACTGATGAAAGACTATCAATTCTAAATGACATTAGGTGATATAATGGAAAGGGTTAATCAGGGCATGCGATACTTGGACTTTCCTTGAACCGTTTTAGCTAGACTTTTGAAGATAACGGTATCTGTAAGACATGCTGGCAGACTTTGAGAGAGCTCTAGAAAGCGTTTTTAGAGTGAAAAGGGTCAGATTCACATCCAAGTGTGTAAAACCTCATTCCAACACACCAATGTTAGCATCATCGATGTAAATGCATAAATTGGAGGCAAAGCATGTGACTAATGATCTTTTAGGAGCGTAACTAATGGAATTGACTCGGCTGAATTCATGCAATCAATTTTCAGGAGGCTTCGCATCTGGGAGGAAGAGCAGCACAAGCGTAGGGCGCAGACTTTACTTGCATAACTGCATAAGGTCGGGCGATTGCACTAACGGACATGCTTAGATCCTCAAATTAAACCGTAGGTCCGTAGTACAACTCACATGAACTTGAAAATCATTAAATCAATGCAAAGAATGTTACCTCTGAAGGCGCTGTAAGTGTACTTTTCAACCACCAAGTCAGAATCCACCCTGCCCAAATCGGGAATGAGCTCGGCCTCAACAGTGCCGTCCATGATAAGGTTGCCGTCCCACCACTCGTTAAGCATGCCGTAGTCCTCCTGGGACTGGTGACGGTGTCGCGTGAAGATCACAGGCACTGACGCGCCGCGGCAGAGATTGATTGTGGCCTTGATCTCCGGCAGGATAGGCTTGGCCATCGTGTAGAAGTAGTTTTGCATGTCAACCACTAACAAGACGGCCGATTTGGTGTCCGGATCACGCTTCCTGACGTCATATTTTTCGTATGGCGGGTGTGATGACGTCGCTCGGAACATTTCTAAAACTCGGCTGAGTTTTCGTGAATAAGAACATATCTGCACACATGTACATTTGTGTACACATGTACACATGTAGAGCAGTCTGTAGACAGACAACTTGTCTACTGAGGACAGACATGTTCACAAAAGGTGTACCCACGCATTTTTCCAATCTCTAACTGCTGCTATGTTTTGAGCAACTCTACTACTCTAGCGAGAGGTGTATTTTTGGAGGAACCAGTCACATTAACTATTATCCTCCTGTATGATAATAGTTGCAAGTTGCACCATTTACGGTTTAATCTTTTGGGTTAAAAAACTAACTGAATCGAAACCGATCGACAAAAATCGACAAAAACATGATAAAACCAATCGAAACCGACACAAACCGATCGAAATTAATCGAACCGAAACCGACTCAAGTAGTGCGGTTCGGTTTACAGTTTTACCTTTTCTAAAACCGAAACCGACCAAACTGAACCGACGAAACCGAAACCGACCAAACCGAACCGACGAACACCCCTACTTGCAACATTAAAATTACACACTATTCTTGTACTCTACATTGATTACATTTTAAAACCGACAAAACCGAAAAAGTGAATGTTGCAACTAAAAAAGAACCGATGAAGTATTCCCTATTCTCATATCAATTAGTGATTTGTTTAAAATAATTCAAAATATCAATTATTGCAAAATAACTTCAACTATTAAAAAATAATTTTAAAATGCTCCATTGACTCATAAATATTAGTATTTTCATTCCGTAAAAATTGTCTCATTTTTCAGTTTCAATCCATTTTACTGAAATTGTCTCATACCAAATTTGATACAATTTACGTGATTATAAATCATTCTAACTTTATTCTTATCTTATCAATTTAATATCAACCATACAAACTCACTTTTCTTAATTCAATTAATTGGGATTTTAAGTCACTGGGCATTAAGTCACTTTATTTTAAGTCACAGATCACTCAAGATTGTGACACCTCCTCTTCTAGGAAATAGGAATTATCATAAGTCACTGGACTATTTTGGAATTTTTTCATTAATTGGGATTATTTTGAGGAAATTGATACTTTTGAGCAGATCACTAATAGTTAAGATTATACATGCCCATTTTTCCTTATGTCCATTTGATTATTTTCTTTTTCTTCCATTTTTGGTAAAGTAAAATGTGGTGGGACAAAGGTTCATTGATCTCTAACGTATATTGATTCAAATCTCGTGGAAACCCTAGTAATCCGCAATTGGAGCTGACTCTGATACCATGTTAAAACTGTGAGTTTCATCCTAAAAGAGTAAAAGATCAATCTCATATGAGGAGCAGCCCAGAGTCTTATATAGTATTTTTTTATACCTTTATGGTGTGGGACACACTTTTATAGTAAGAAGTCTATACTCTTGTGTAGATCCTTTATTTTATCTATGTACACGCTTATCCAGATCCATCGAGCTGAGGGAGCATGTTAAAGTATTGTCCGAAGATCATTTTCATAATGGGGAACCCTAAAATTTATTCATCAAGTGGAAGATCAATGAACCTTTATCCCACCACATTTTACTTTACCAAAAATGGAAGAAAAAGAAAATAACCAAAACATTTTCAAAACAGAAAATAGAGCTAGAAATCAAAGACGTTGAGTTATAGTGTTATACTTGAGCTATGATAATATGAAGTGTAATAATCGCCTGCAATCATCTATTACAACTTTGTGTTCCATTTGTAACTTTCAATTTTATTCTTCGTGATCAACATCATTTTATTCTCTAATTTTGAGTATCAAATTGTATTCATTTCTATTTTTGTGATTTGATTTTTGCCATATAATAGTTTATTTGCAAAACAATGGAGCATGTAATGAGAAATTGAAAGAATCTAACAGAGAATCTGAATCCCATAATAATAAGATACACGTCTATACAATTAACATCATAGTTTTCATCCCAAATCAGGGATCCCGTCTCCTCCTACCCCTAAAATATAGTGGGAGAATGAAATCACAAAACATTTAAATCTAATTAAAGTAAAACCTGCACAGTATAATTACAAAATTATAAAAGGCCTAAAGAGAAGCTGGGGGAGGGGGGCCATTTCTAAAACTAAAATAGTTAAGCATATAGAATATTTATATACCTAATACAGAAGTATTAGTAAAAGTGTAAAACGGGAATGAAATGAGATGTTTTTTTATCTTTTTTTTTTTTCGTGGATTGGAAACTTTTTTGTTGATGCACCAGGTCAGTCTTAAAACCAGCTACTGGATGGTGATTTTTCTCCAGGTCAGCAATTCAACTCAAGTTCTTGGCAGGTTAATCCGGGCCAAATGCTAAAACAGGACAGCACGTCAACAAACAAACCAAATATACAAGCCTCATGGTTAAACCGTTCCCACAGGATCATTCAGGGCAATCCGGGTTTTAAACCATTGATGCCAATATTCGATTTGGGTGGGTGCAACTATGCCTGAAATTTGGCAGCACCATTGATGCTTTAACATTGGCTGCTAAATCGCTAATGACAAAATGTCATCATATATACTTCCTTAAATAGACACTGCTAAATGGTTTAACATTGGCTTGCCAAAGTCAAGACTATCAGCACTAAAACTTGGTGTGCTGCTACTATATGTCTGGTTCATTCAACCTATTTTGTTACCACATATATTCAAGAAGTGAAATAATTTTATTAAATACTACATGGTGTAACAGTTGAAATACCATACAAAATACAGTTTTGGAATATAAAAACACTCATTCAGAATTCCATACTCCCCTAATCCCCAATAAAATTTTCATCGTGGATGTAGGCATCACATTACCTCTTACTTGCATCCAGAGCTGAAGAAACTCGGCAAGATGGGCTATATATATAAGATTGGAACCTTCAAAGAAAGACCAATGCATTGTTGAGCATAGCAACTATATACAGTATATATCGCGATAAAAATACTAATTTGTAGACCGTAGAGATAAGGGAAGAGAGACCCTCTCATACAAGTTGAAAGGGATTCATGCACCCCATCCCCAAAGGACTAGAGACAGATCAGTAAGACTTCAGTCATCTCCCTGAGGCCACTATAAACCTGCCAAGTATCATTGGAGAAATGACTAGTCATATTCACTGGTACTATATAAAAGCAGTTACATCATCTTTCAATTGATGTGCAGATTATATTCATAGATCCCAAACAAAAGCTAAATAACACAAACATCAAGATATACAATAATAAAATCAAGTACTCCGTATATCATTTGCAGGCTCTATACATATACTCCCTCCGTTCTTTTTTAGTTGCAAAGGTTAACATTTCACATTTGCCAACGCACGTCTTTGACCGTAATTATATCTTAATTCTATTAGTAAAAAAATATTAAAAATCATATATTGAATATTTGTAATGAGATGAATTGAACAATATTTTTAAAAAAAAATATTTTTCATAAAATAATAGCATAAAATGTAGTCAAAGTAGAGCATGTGAATAGTGTAAAATTCAACATGTTGCGATTAAAAAGGAACGGAGGATAGTATATACCTAGGGGTTTTCAGAGAAATTTAACATTCCTCAGCACTGGATGCTGAAGGGAACCGCGAACTCTTCATTTCAATAGTGTCCAGACCTTCTTCATTTCAAGCAGTTACATCATCTTTCAATTGATGTGCAGATTATATTCATAGATCCCAAACAAAAGCTAAATAACACAAACATCAAGATATACAATAATAAAATCAAGTACTCCGTATATCATTTGCAGGCTCTATACATATACTCCCTCCGTTCTTTTTTAGTTGCAAAGGTTAACATTTCACATTTGCCAACGCACGTCTTTGACCGTAATTATATCTTAATTCTATTAGTAAAAAAATATTAAAAATCATATATTGAATATTTGTAATGAGATGAATTGAACAATATTTTTAAAAAAAATATTTTTCATAAAATAATAGCATAAAATGTAGTCAAAGTAGAGCATGTGAATAGTGTAAAATTCAACATGTTGCGATTAAAAAGGAACGGAGGATAGTATATACCTAGGGGTTTTCAGAGAAATTTAACATTCCTCAGCACTGGATGCTGAAGGGAACCGCGAACTCTTCATTTCAATAGTGTCCAGACCTTCTGCAACAGATGACATATCATCGCCTTTCGAATCCAGCTCCCCTGGATTCATCTGCTGTACCTCCTCCTTCGTGTAGATACCAATTTTACGAACAATACCACAAAATTCTCTGTTTCAAAGAAATAGGAAGATAACATTTTTAGTCATTTAAATATACTTGACACGGTAGATAAAGGAAACATTATTATTTGTTAGTGCTAGGAAACTAAAATTCGTACGTCCATGGATCATCTCCCACAAGCATCATATCACCCTCATCATCAGTATACACAACCATCCAATTCTTGTCTTGAGACATAAGTTCACCATTGAAGTCAAACAGCTGGTCTAGTTTTGCTATCAATTCATCATAGCTCTTAAACATGGAGAGATCCACAGACCTTCCAAGGGCTGTGCCCTGTTTCTGAACCTGAGCTTAAAAACAGTTGTCTGAAGTTGTTACAAATCTTAGAAAAAGTCATAAAGAAAATAAGCACATCAACAACAGGGGGGAAATGAAACCTTGGTGCAACTCCTTGTAGAACCACTGTAGATTTTCCCCTCATTTTCTCTACCATCCGGGCAAAAAGATTGAAATCTTTTCTTTTGCTCATTGCCAGTAGGTCGACAATCTAACTCTTTAGGAGCCTTGGCCTTCTTTTCAAGACTTTCATTTAGCTCAATTGCAGCAGAATAAAGGGAGTTCATACCGGCATGGATGTGACCTGACTCAAACACTGTGTTTATGGGTACAGCAGAGCTATTACTTATAAGGGGTATGCCAAAGAGTTTGCAGTTCTCATCATTTGGCTTCATGACCTCAAGTTGTTGCAATGGTTCGAATGTAAACAATGGATCTCTGGAATGAGAAGGGGCTTTTATCTGAGACATTTGTCGGGGAGTCAACCAGTTCCTTTGATGATATTCTAGTTTGTTACCTGGTAGC